CGGGGGGCTGCCCGGTTTGGGGGCTGCCCGGTTTGGGGGCTGCCCCAAAGGAAGGCGAGCGGGCTGGGAAGTAGGCTGCGAGCTGCGCAGCAGGGGCAGGTTGGGCTCCCTTCGTAGCCCTTGTGTCCCTCTGCTGTTTGAGGTTTGGAGGTTTTCATACAAGTAAAAAAAAAAAACAGAATCGTAGTATTGAATACAAATTTCAGTAGGCACTTACTTTAGTTGATGCTCAGAAGCAGTTTATCCTGACTACAGAGTGGGCAGTTTCTACGGTTTTCCTTTCTTAGCAAGATCCATCCTTTCCTACCAAGTAGCAAAAATAAACTTCATTAAAGGCTTCTATGCAAGTACACTTGGTATGAAGATGCTTTGTAAATGCAAATGCATCATGGTTTTGGTAAATATAATTAACATTTTAATTAGGCAGCTGTAGGTGAGCTTTCGCGGCTGTTTTCACTGTCTAAATTAAACTTGCGTAGTGGACCCATTCTTTCACATCGTATGGCTTCTTTGTTTTCTGTTATGTTGGTTAGGCGTGATTGTTTTTTAATTCAGATCCACCTCTAAGGCTTGGTATTTGCTGTCTCTGGTATCTGTGAGAAGTGAGGGAGAGAAAAAGCAGTATGTAGAAAACAAAAATAAGTCATCTTCAAGCAAAATTGAAGGCACTGTGCAGCTGCTTTCTTGAGCAAGGTGCTTAAATGTTTGTTGCTGCCTTTATGCTTCCTATTTATGGCTGTCATGTGTATCGTGCTTAGTGTGTGCTTTGAGGCAGAAGTGGTCTTTTCAGGTGTCCTTGGTAAATGTCCAGCAACTCTTGAGTATTTGAAGACGACAGTTTGTAGATATCTGTGCTGAAAATCCAAAAGGTATCAGTTTGTCCTTGCTTTTGGAGCTCCTGTTAGGAATTTTTATCACAGAGCCAAGAGCTTATTTTCCTTCCAGTACTGTGATCCATGTACCTCTCTTCCCTTACCTACTTTTTGGAATGCTATTTTACCAGTTATCAACCTTATTTCTAGTAAGGGCAGTTTATATTTTGTGTGATTAGTTGTGGCATTTCTTTTCTAAAATGTCATTTCTTTTAATCTTAGTAATATTCTTTCTGATATTTTTTTTTTGTACATAAGGGAAAGGAAAAAAAAAAAAAAGTGATCTTATTGATTTATGGTGTCCTGTATGGATCTCTGCTCCTTTAAAAGCTGTTAATGATATGTAGTGTCTATCTACTTGAACCACTTTTGCGTTCACAGCTTTTTCTGTGGCAGAAGTTGCACAGGGGAATTTAAAAATGAATCTTTTTGAGCATTTCCGTCACTCATGAAATGCTTGAAATATCCAATTAGGTAGCACAGCATCTTGTAACAAGTATTTTGATCCTGTGATCATGAAAGGATTTATTTTAAAAGGTTGTAGCAGACTTGGTTTTTTAATCAAACATGTGAGCGTTAAATGGTTTTATTTTCCAAAGGAACCAATGCTCAATTGTATGCTGTGCCTATCTTCTTACAGTTAGAGTTTGTGCAAGATGTTCTTCAGTTGTCTTGAATAAAACTATTACAATGGTATCCTGACTACGTGCTGTGTAGAGGTTTTTTGAGTTTTGACATTATAGTGTTTTTTGGCATTTCATTGCATTTAATAAATTTCCTTCCCTACCCACCAGCTTCTCAGTATACATCTATACAGCAGAGCTGTGATCTACTCCCCCTTTTTTTTTAATTTTTCTTTTCTTTTTTTTTTTTTTTTCCCTTCTTAACTGTTAAGTGCTTTGCTTTGCTAAATTACCATTAATTAAAAGATGTGGTAATGTATTAGGCAGTGTTAGGTCTGATTTGTCTTGTGTATCATACAGTGGGAAGACAAGTTCAAGTTGTAATTACAAAATGTTACTAACATAACGTGTTTGAGTACAAGGAATTGGTGATCCTGCTGCTTCGAAGTACAGTAGCTATGACATTGCTATGCAATTTTATGCATTTCATGTGAAATA